CACACAACCACAAACACACACACACAAACACACAACCACAAACACGCAACCACAAACACACAACCACAAACACACAAACACACAACCACACAAACACACAACCACAAACACACAACCACAAACACAACCACAAACACATCCACAAACACAACCACAAACACACAACCACAACCACAAGTACAAACACACAATCACAAAGACACAACCACAACCACAACTACAAACACATAATCACAAAGACACAACCACAACCACAACTACAAACACATAATCACAACCACTACCACTACCACAAACACAACCACAAACACAACCACAAACACATCCACAAACACACAACCACAAACACAACTACAAACACACAATCACAAAGACACAGCCACAACCACAACTACAAACACACAATCACAAAGACACAAACACACAACCACAAACACACAACCACAAACACACAACCACAAACACACAACCACAAACACACAACCGCAAACACACAACCACAAACACACAACCACAAACACAACCACACAACCACAGCACACAACCTGAGGACCCACAAGCAACATCGAGAACTACAATACTAACGACTATGGCAACATGCTCCTCACTATGGCATCAAGACAAATGATTGAAATGTCATGGTGGGGATCACTCGAAGTATAAAGCATGTTTTTCCGTTTTGTTTTTTGCGTGCCTGCTTTCAAGAGAGGTCACTGCAAAAAATAGTTAGCTAGTCATTTTAGGTCCTTTGGTGTGAGCTCTCAGGGTCTCAAGATCTCAGCTTTCCAAGGAGGCGAACGTCATCGACTCGATGTCCACAAGCAGAACAAACACCCTGAGGAAGACCCCTCTGTGCATCTCTGTGCTGCGTTTGGTGGCCGGACCGCCGTTTGGGCAGGGAGCTGCCTGGCAGCCAAGAGCAGCCCAGTATTTTTGAGATCCAGGATCCAACGAAACAGAACAAACAGATCCAAACAGATCCAAACCACCGCAAGATGATCCAACCATGAGAAATCCCAACACCCCCGATGGTCAGACCATCCAACCAGGCACCCCCTTGGTCAGGTCGGTCGGTTGGGTGCCCCCGCTGCAGGAGACCATCAAAGTGAAGAAACCCCAAAGGAAGCAACCTGAGGAAGGTCGGGCGGTTTGTATCCTTGAGCCATTTTGAGTGCCATTTCGAAGCTATATGTTGTGTTTTTTTGTTTCAATAGGTGTTGGACTGAATAGATGTCCCGCACAAAAGAAGATTTCCCAGAATAGGTGTCATTTCAATCGACTAGAATCACTAGAATGGACTAGATGTTCATCTCAGCCGATGGACAGAACTGGAGCTCCAACAGGTCAGCGTAATGCCTTTGGGGTTTTGGAGAGTTTTGGATGCAATGTGATGGTCATGTGATAAAGACGATGTGAAAACAATAGGAGATGAGGTGATCGACTTGCGTGATCGTCTGGATCGGTCCATGTCATCCAATGTGTGATGTAGAAATCTGGAAGGAAAAGACCGCCAGAAGTGGAAGGAAGTTCTCGCTGCCCAACTGGACCCCTGGTGAATCACCGTAGCTCAAAGGACTGCCAGAGGCGCAGTTTGGTGGAGTGAACACCCAGTGTTTGGATCTGTCTGGTAGTCGGATTTCATGGTTTTCAAGGGGCCAATTGGTCACTTCCATGTGAGTTCCAAGGAGTGTAACACTTACTACCCCCCTTTTCCGCCATCTTCCACCCCTTCTGTCCCTTTTGTTCCCCAGGGCACCAGCGGCCAAGAGATCTCGAGGTCGATGGTATTGCATCAGAGAGCCCCACAGAGGCAGCGCCAAGGAGAAAGCGATACTCCTTGGCGCGCATTTGGGGTCACCCACGGATCGACGGAAAGAACTGGGCGGAGGATGGGGGGGGAAGCCTGCGATCTTTTCGAGGGGAAGCCACAAGGAAGTGAGAACATCTCCCGGAAGCCATGGGAAGACGGAAGGTGAAGTGAACAAGCGTGACATACCGTGACAACGAAGGTGAAGTGTGGTAAAACTGCAGGGCCAGACTTTCGCAACACTATAGGCAATGACTTGTGAAATACATTAAAATACCGCGAGTAGAATACCGGGAGTGGGTAGGGTACACTTTCAAGTGAACGGAGGAGAGCTTACACTGTAACCACCCCCACGATTCCTCCAACGCCACCCCTTCATCACCCAGGTCGCTGGGCGAAGCTCAGGGCACCCAGATCGCGAGGACCGATCTGCGCGCGCAGCGCGCGGTGCTATCGGCGCGGTCGATGCGGGAGAGAACGTGAGCGGTGCGTGGCTGACTTGGTGGCTGGTTTGGAGGTTCTCATTGACAGCCACCATGTGCCCCAAGAAACAAACACACATGGAGAAGTTCGACCAAAGTGTAGACTCGGTGGTTCGACCATGTGCGAAGAAAGAGATATTATGAAGCAACCTGACGCCGGGCGTGTGGCCAACATCTCGGGCTCGGTTGGCCGAAGCCATGGCATGTTCGAACGAAGCAAAAGCGTCTCTCAAATCGTTTAGACATCAAACTTATCACACAACCCTTAAAGTTCAACGCTGCGAGTCGGATGAACTTCAATGGCCTATGGCTTTCCCGCGGAATTGGTGTTATCATGTCTGTTATCACTTGTTATCCTATAGTCACTAGTCATGGTCTTTCTGCAGTGTTCAACCCAGGCGCAGGTGCAGGTGAGCCTCAAAACTGGCGAAAACACGCAAACCGCGTCCCGTGCCGCAACGAATCCCAAAATTCTGACCGGGGCACCTGAAGTTCTTCCTCCATGGCCTTGAACGTGGCAGGTAGAAGGGCCTTGTCTGCCGCGTCCACCGCACACGCCTAAGTTCGCCCTTGGCAAGGCCAAGGCACCATGGGCCGGGCTGGGGGTCGTGGCCCGTCTAGCAAGACCAGCAGCTGAATGAAAACCCATTGAAATCGGGGCAAGGTCGATGATTGGGTTTCGATCGCCACATCCAGTAGCATCTGGAGTTGGTATTCGCCAAAAGAGAGGTTCGGTTCGGCTCTGCCTCTGTCAGTAATGTCGAGTTAAAGATTGGAATTCTTTTTACCAGGCTTCACCGCAAGAACGTTCCACGTTCGGATTCCACTCGAAAGCATGCATATTGTTGCCAGTAGATCTTGGTTGCGCTTCACATGAGACCCCGAACAGATCCTTGGAAGCTGCAGGGGTTGGTCCATCCACATGACCTTCCGCTGTGGGGTCAAGACCTTCCGCTGTTTCAGCCACCGGAAGAGATGACGACCCTCTCTCTCTCTCTCTCTCTCCTTTCATGCACCGCCCCACACAAACTTGGATCAGGGGAACCTCAACACTCTCTACACCAAGCTACCAGTCGTACCTTCTCAGGTTTGGTACGACTGAACTACCCTCCTGGCACCTACGTAGCAGCTTCTCCAATCAGTGGATCCCAGATGGGTTTCTTTGGACTTGTGACCTAGACTCGAAGGACGCCTTGCTCTTCCTGGTCGCTGACTGGTCGCCAACTGAAGACCAGGGAGTAAGAACTGGAGACCCCAGCGGAACAGGAAAAAGCTCCCTGTGAGCATTCAAGCTATCGCACGAGATGACTCCAGCAGGCGATCCGAAGCCTCTTCCGAATCGGAACCCTCTTCCCCACCCCACACATGAGCTGAGACGCAAAGATCACCACCTTGGTGAGATGAGGGGAGCTTAAAAAGTAAAAACAACGAATAACAACACATGAACAACAAGGTAAAGTATGTCTATTGATTCTGGCATGTTTCCAATGCGTGGTGGGTTGGCCTCATGATGCCTTCGGATCCAAAATGCACGCTTCGGATCCGCTCCGTGTCGGCCGCTTCGGTGGCCGTTTCACTCGGCGAACTCGGCTTGCCGTCCGAGTCCGTCCAAGGTCGATATCACTCAGGTCAACCGATCGACGCGCATGCCGTGTGTTCCATGGTGAAACTATCTCGATGAAGCGCACAGGTCAACTCAGTCGAAACCACCCCAAACCACGGCTGCGGCTGCCGGAGCTGTGTCTGCCAAGTAGCGCAGCAAATCCGCCTTGGAGATGAATAACTCTTTGGCATCTCGTTCTCCAGATCATCCATGGCAGGGATTGGCCACGCAACCGGTGGCGGGATTGGTTTTTGCGGACCAATCGAACCAGTGGAAGGAATGGACTTTTGTATACTTTTGTTAAATAGGGGAACCAAAGGAGTAAGATTTCTTGTTCCTGTACTGATTCTTAAGGGGGTTCGGAACTAGCTGTTCAAGGAGCAACTGCTTGAAACAAAGCCTCTCTTCAGCCTTGGAGAACTCTCAACATCTCTCAACCAGTTCCGTATCTTTGACATCATCGCCTAGCTGTTTTCTTTTTCCACATCTATCGTCAAAATCACTTGAAAAATCACCTGATGTGGTCTCTGCCTCTCCTCTAGCCTCTCTAGCCTCTCCTACCGTCAAAATCCGGACCATTCACCATCTTTGTGGCCCGGAATCATCGACATCCCCCATGAGTCAGCCGCTCGGTCTACGTCAGCTCAACGAACCGCGCGGTGTGTTTGCTGGTAAACACGTCCGAAAAGACCATGGTAGTGGGCCAAGTTGGGTCAACAGTATCAATCCACAACTCCACCTCTGCACTCTTGCGCTAGAGCAGTTAGCCAGCATATTCCTTGGAACCCTCTTGAGATATCTTGAGACATAGGAGGGATCTTCAATATCATATAATATCCAAGAATCAAGAATGATATGAGTTATATTGAGTTATATTGAGTTGTGATATGTTCATGTGTTCTTTCACAACCATGGACCATACACTCACATACTACATCACATGCTATCAACCTAAATCGCATGTGAACATCTGAGTCGCTTGCCCTTCATTCTCCTTGAGGCCCCGGTAGGTAGCGATGTGTATTGCAATGGTGTCGACCTCCTCACCATCCACCGCCCGTGCGCGGAGCCGCGGAGCTCCGGTCGCTCGAGCGCTGGGCGTTCGGGCCACCTTCGAGACGGCCGCCCGCCATGCGGTGATGCGACTCCAGCTGGCCTGGCGGCCGGCGGAGTCGTTGCTTCATCAGCAGGGGGGGGGAAGTTGCTTCACCTGGAGAATGAAGTAAAAGGCCCTGTGGCCCTGGTGTTACAAGTGTTCTGTCTAGGTCCAGAGTCAGTCTCCAGACCCCAGCGCCCTGCCGGGACCTGACCCGACCTGAGGTCTCCAGTCCCCATCCCAGACCTTCCGAACCCCCCCCAAAAATCACCATCTCTGCTTCAAGAACAGTTAAATCATGTTAAATCCACTTAAGTCACGTATATCTCTTCCCTTAATTGTATATCTCTTCCCTCATCTCCACTCATATCCACTCATTGGTCAACTCCTATCACACTCGATCCGACTCTACCAGGGCACTCTACGGGTCCGAGCCTGATGTTTTCTCATCTCATTCAGAACACAGTCCATCAAATCTGGCCGCATGGTCTCTCTGAAGAAGACCTTGGCAGCGACCAACTTTCACCAGCTTTTCGCAGGTGTTCGAAAGTTTGAGATATTGCGGAACCAGCTGTGAAAGACAACACAAATCCGAGTTGCTACAGTCCAGTTCCATGAAAATCCAAATGGTTCTCTCCTTCAGCCAAATGGTGTCCCATCCCTCTCCTCAGTAGGCCCTCTTCAGCCACCCTGCCGGCATCTGCCAGATCTCTGCTGGTTCATGGGGTTCAAAGCTGCACACGTCGCCTTCCTTCGAGGTCTCCACTTCGCCTCCGAGTCCACGGACGCGGCGTTTTTCTCGCAGATGATAGGAGATGACCCAGGCACTGCATGGGGCTGGCATATTTATATACATTGACCCCTGTTCAACCACCCCAATAGTAGGTCAATATGCCAGTCCCATGGAGTGTGTGGGGGATGACCTGCTAGTGTTGGAGGCCCCAGGTGGCATGTCAGAGGCTTGAGTCGGTCTTCAAGTGTGACGTTTGCACGTGACATGACCATCATTGATCTGCAGAAAGTGGCTAGGTCTGAGGAAAACAGGACAACTCTTTAAAGTTGACTTCACTTTGGCAATTGCATGGTAATTACCCCGCTGAAAACTAACATGGAACCTGAACACCACTGGTTTGTAGAGGAAAACAGTCTTTCAGGGCGCCATTCTCAGGGTCCATGTTAGTTTTCGGGAGTGTACTTCTTCTCTGAAGTAAACTTAACTTGGTACAGTGATTACCATTTGTTACGTTGTTCTCTCCTGAAGGATGATCAATCATCAACCCTTCACCAGTGAACCGTCGACAGTGCGCTAGTACCGTTCTACTGGTACGTGCACCTTCGAGCCATCCAAAAGATATTAACAAATCACAGTTTTGGCACGTTTTGGCCTCATCAAAACAACTCAACCAAACGCCGAAGCTAAGCAACAACAAGCTTAGGACTTTCATGTCCAGCCGCCCAGCCTATCAGCAGGAGCGTTCGGCTGTGAGCCTGTACATAGAGGAGGCTTTCCTGATGCGCAGCGAGCGCGAGCGCGGCTCAACGGCTCTGTGGTCATGTCGGGTGAACCGGAAAAAACCATCGGTGCCACTGTACTTTTGGCCTACCACCATCGAGGTCTTAACGTTGGTCTAGTGACTAGTGTTGAGCCGCTTTCATTTGGGTCTGAGAACAATCCTGCACCTGCTCCCCTTTTTTTCAATCTACATCATTGACCTCAATCATGACCGGCATCCCTTAGCCGGCCTACCAGTGAATCACAAAGGCCAATTCCTCACTATGTGACCTTTCTCGAGCGCCTTCGAAGATCTCTATCATGTGTTTTCTTGCTTCCCTTTGTACTATGTACGGTCTTCTCTTCCCGAAGATAGGCACTTCTCGGTGGCTTACCTTTTCAGTTTTCTGGGCACCTCGCATTCTGTGCCCTCCGCCACTGGCGTGCCGCTGCACTCCTCCGCCCTCCGTCGACCCGGCTCGATTGCCGCAGTGAACCGCCATGGCGCGCACTCATAGAGGCCCGTCTCAGAGCTCTTGCTCTCCACCGTTTGAACCCGCCACAAGGTGCGAGCCTCGCGCTGCACGGCGGGTGAAAGCGCGATGGTCGCGAGGTCTGGTGCACGCGTGAGAAAAATGAGAACAGGGCGAACGCATGTTCGTTTGCGGCCCCAGGTCGTGCGTTCTTTTTTTGGGGTGTGGTGAAAGGGGAGGAAACGCGAAAAGGATCCTGGATTCTGGATGTGGACGTGGACATAAGATGACATAAGTGACAGGTGAAACACTTACAGGTGCCCTTTTAACAATCTGCCCCAACAGCAAATTGATTGCTATAGAATCTGATAGAGTCCTTATTCGATAGGCTCCGTATACATGGGAGGATCGTCAATCAAGTCAATGTCAATTCCTACTGTACCGGCTGTCTGCTTTGTGCTACCTGCAGCGGCTGGCACCCCAAAGCCGCATTCGGCCTCATCTGGCCAAATGGACATTAGCTGCTGCATCTGGGGCGTGTTAGCCTGGACTGCCACTGGCTGGGCCGTCCTGGGTGGAGGAACGTTGGTTGGAACGTACGAGCGGATGCCGGTGGTGACTGGGCGCGCGGGAGGCTTGAGGCTTGACTCTCCCAAATTTGAGGGCTTGAGGCTTGACATCTGCCAGGATGAACCAAATATCCCGGGTCCGTCACGGCGCAAAGAAGCTACCCCGTGTTTTTTTACTTACTCACGGGATCCCTTCCAAAACCCCTGAGCGGTCACTACATGATACCAAATGGAGGGATGAGAAGACACCTGGGGCCCAGGGGGATACATTTGACATCATTTGACTAAGTCAGCTCCCAAACCCAACTCAGCTGTGTGGATGTCTAACTCAGCGCTGTCTCTTGGCCACTATTAAAAAAGACCTCACCAATCTGATATCTTTCTCTCTCTCTCTCTCTCTTCCTGTGTCCATCCGCCCAGGTTTGTGTTGCCAACACATCCGACAACTCAAGTGGTGCTGGTGCCGGTCCTGATTTTTTGGCTGGAAACTCGACCTGCAGCTTCCTGACCTGGTCCCTCCCAGGGACCGCCATTCGCCCGGGGTAAGGTCCCAACCCAGCTGTGGACCTTGGGCGACCTTGAGCGACCCATTCACTGTGGATTGTTGTTGTGGCTGGTGTGTGTCATGTTTTCTGGCTGGAACACAGGGTCAACCTGCTAGTAGCAGGCGGACGGTCTGTAGGGCGGCCGTGCAAGTCATGGGTCCAAGCTTTTCGCCCAATCCCAGTGGTAGCGCATCTGACTCCACGCCTTCAATTCAGAGATCGAGCCAAGAGCCATGTCTCCTATACCATTCAAGTATGAGCACCCAATTTCGGGAGATCCATCCTTCTCATCACCCCCATCACAGCCCAACCTGACCCAACTCACGGCTGAAACCGCCGCACGATCCGTCCCTCCTTCGGTGCGCCGAGCGGCACCACCAAGACATGTCCCATGAACCCCCCAGCATTGCCGATGTTGGAGATCTGCCCGGATCCTCGAATGAGCAGCACGTCACCTGCCGCTGCAGCGAATGGTTTAAAGGGCCAGGCTGAACGACCTATGCCTCACCCAGGCTGAACGCTCAGTTCAGGCCGAGGAACTTGGTGGGAGGTGCGTTTGCCCCGGTCTCAAACGGTGCGAACAAGAGGTGGAGGGACACTGCAGCTGCGAAGGGTGGAGGTGCGTTTGCTTTGCGGACGAAACACGGAGGTGTTTTCAAGCGCCGACTCTGGAAAATGGGGGGGGGTCATTAATCCTGTATTGACATAAACATATAGTTACATACATAAACCATGAATGACGTCAGCAGCCGGCAGCGATGAAATTGAAAGGCTCCAGCCTGGTGCCATCACCAAGTCTAGGTTGTCCCCTTTCATGGCAAGCTGTTCCTGGCAAAGCCTCAGGGTGAGTGGTGAATTCTCTTTCCCTGGTCAGGTATGCTGCTAGTAAGGTGAACCAGACCACCCCTGGGTGACAACAAGAGCCTCTTCAGGAGACACGAAGGAGATTATCGTTTTGAACATCAAATCACCAATTTCTCAACCGTATGTGTTTCATGGTGTTTCAGCTTAGATGCACTTCAATGATCTAGTTCCTATAGTTCCTATTATCAATGCACTTTAACATCCACTTCTAAATGCCCAAAAAGCGCTGCCAGCCCACGTGGCGGCTTTGGCAGGCGTCCAAAGCACCCAATCCCCTCACTCGCGCGCGCATGGTTCTTCCGTGTCCAGCAGCATAGGTGGTCCAGGTGGCTGTCCCGGCACCTGCCTTAGCACCACAGCGAAGCGCCCCAAACAAGCACTGCGGCACTGGGAAGCACGAGCCGGAGTGGTTTTTCGGGGTTTCGGGTCTAACCACATCTAACCACCAACATCCATGTGGATCCCAAATCAACCAAACCACGGAAACTCCTGGATGTTGAAACGTTTATATATGGACCTTAAATGACCTCAACCTGGACCCTTGGAGAAACCAAAGGCCGCCCCTATGCCATATAAGCTCATTCCGTCCCTAACCATCCATCTAAGCTCCTGCCGACCGGCCTCCGCCCGGACCGGCGCGCGCTCTCTCTCTCTCTCTCTCTCCCCGCCCGGACGTCCAGACGCGCCGGTCTCTCCAAGTCGCATGAGCTGGTTGAGCTGTGTGGCATTCAGACGCGGCACGTTCTGGTTCACCCTCCGGGCCACATTTGACAGGGGCCGTTGTGAACATGCGGGCCACAACTCGGGGACATGTGTGTGTTTAATCGTTTACGTCACGTTGCTTTTCTCTTCGATTTGTGCGGCACTGCCCCAACTTGGGGCAGGGTGAACACCCCTTCACGTGCAGCGTCTGATTGAAACAGTGAAAGAAAGGTGAGGTGACTAATGTCACAAAGCTGGAAGCAATCAATCGTCTTTATTTATGAGACAACTCGACATCTTCCCCCCCCCACATCTCACGCCGACCTACTTACCATAACTTCCATCCACCATAGGAACCTGGACGAACCTTTTCTCAGTTCTAAGCCACCCCAGAAACCTACGGAACCTGGCCGAACCTCCTCCAAAACCCGTTTTCCATCCGTTTTCGAAAACAACGACGCACCGTGAGCACCTCCTGGGAGACCGGAGCCTTGGTGGACTGAAACGCGAGTCGCGATGTGGCTACTGGGTGGAGATGGAATCTGGGTGGATGGGCACAGGGGGACCGGGTTGTTTCCCACTGAACATGAAGAGAATCGACAAGCAAACATGGTGAACCTATAGCAGGGATTACGGGGGGCTTCACCATGTGGGTTGCACACCATTTCACCAGGTGCCAAGGTCGACAGCACTTCTGGTGCGAAGACGGATGTGGCCGAACCTCAAAGACCAGAGCATCGAACATGTCATGTCTACCCAGCGGATGGCGATCGGACGGGAAAGAGAATCCGGACCGGAAAAGACACACAATGTGGTGATCCCATGTGATCCCAGTTGAAAAAGTGGGGTGAATTTCTTCACCGGGTGCCAGGCTGTCAATATGTTGATGTTCGAGGCATCCAAAGAGCTTTCAACAAGCTGATTGAAGTGGGTCCCTCCGTTGAAGGGAACATCCACAGCTGGAGTATGTTGCTGAAGGTAGTGTTCTGAATGCCTTTTCACTATGGCAAAGGCAAAACCTACTGATTTCTGTAAGGATAGTCCTGCCTTGTGGCTCCCCAATGGTCCTCTGATTCCAACGCCCTTTGCAAAGGAGAAACTGTGGCAACCGAGCCAACCAGTGTGGATGCTACTCTGATGTTGTGCTTTTGTCAAACCCAGCTGTTGATGGAGTCCCAGCTGTTGTGCGTTTGCCAAACTCTCCACCGAAAACCAGATGTTATGTCCGAGAAAAAAGCACCAAAACCGAAAAGACCAACCATGATGGATCACAAAAGGTCCTAAGTCTATAAGACTTCTGGGAATTGAAACCATTTCAGCCATCCAAAGATATTTGTCTATAACTAATTCAGAGATGTATATTTCCAGTCATAGTAATAGGGATATATATATATATATATGGATATATGATATATAGCAGTGTTGAATGATTTACCATGGAAATTGTCAGATTCAGGCTATTGAAGGTCGATTCCAGTGTCCCTACTTTCTGACAAAAATAAGAACGTGTCTCACTACAACAATAGAAATCAAACACCACATACCCAAACCGGAAAAAAAGTACCAAAAAAGCTTGTAACTCCTCCAACTACACCACTATACCTCCCCTCTCCTCCAGTTCACTTCCATCCCTCCCATCGCTGCCGAGCAGCTCCGCAGTGGACTTTCCGCTGATGGAGCTCATAGACCGCGTCCGATCGACCTCGCGCGCGGCGACCTCGGGGCTGCGCTCCTCGGGGCTGGTGGCACCCGAGTTGAGCGCCGGTAGCGCCTGCGCGAGCGCTCACGAGCGAAGGAGGGTGTGGAGGTGGGGCGAGGAGGGTGAGGAGGTGGAGGAGCTTTCTGAAAATGGTCAATATCTCCAAAATGAGGGCAAAAGGCAATGAGAACATGAGAAGATCTGCTATGATCTTAAGTGGTAGAAAGGTCATTTCTGCTCGGTCCAAACGAAGGTGTTCGGCCCAGTTCAACCGAGTTCCGGGCTCGTTGTGCGACCAATCCACCGAGTTCCAACCGATCAATCGTCCAATGGTATACTGCCCCACCACAAACGGACCACTGTACAAAAGCATGTGTTGATTCGCACTGACCCCCTGTGGTTTTTGGGGTTCCATGATGTTCCATGTTCATCTGCAGCGGAGCATCCAAAAAAAGGAGTCATGCAACAGAAAGGAATTATCCAATGCCATGTTGTATTTGATACCAACCTCAGTTCTTTCGAGGGGACAAGCCAAGTTCTAAATGTTTTCACCCCACCAGCAACACTATCCTTATGTCTTTTTCAGTAAGATCTGGCCAAGCAAACAAAACAACCATCTTGATATCTGTGGATTTCATCAACAATCATCAACTCAATATCCCAAAATCAACTCCCCTGTTTTGATGCTTGTTCCCACGAAGATACCATTGATCTATAGATTTTCCAAGGGGAACCGACCGACAGCGGCCTCGATTCACGGCCTCAACAGTGGCGGCCTCAGCACCGCGGCCCTCGGGCGGCTTCCTGTCCGTCTCTGATCTCGCCCTCGGCCGGGAATGGGGAATGGGGGTCCGTAGCGATTCGAGTTGATGCCAAGCCCAAGCACACGAATTATATATGTCTCCTAAAATGGTGTGATCATGTGTGATCTTATCCGTACAAAGTAGGTGTTTGACGGTGATTGATTCTTTATTGATGGTTAAGTTCTTCTTCCACCAGAGTGCTTGGATTGACCTCGCGCACCTCGCGAGGTATATTAATCCTGCAGCAGCCGAAAACTTGCTGCTTTTGAGCTCAGTCTGTGGCGATCCAACTCATTGGTTTTAAGTTTTAAGCTTTGCAGCTTTGATTCTTTGGATCGTGTGCAGCGAGAGGCTATCGCGGTGCCATGAAAACTAAACTTATGTGCTTTGGAAAATAGGATGAAATAGGGGGGGTTCTAAGACATGCTGAAACTGCACACTAGAGCATTTCCTGCCTCAACACACGGTCAAATTGTCCTTAAACATCTTTGTATGTTGCTTCAACCACTGGTACAAGACTTCACAGGAATGTCAGTTGGGCAGCCGGGCAAAAAAACATGATGCCCAAACCACGTACTTGAAGCGATGTCTTTAGTTTAATTTAGTTATGCTAAGTTCTTGAAGTCAAGGTTTAGTTCTATAGAATTTCAAGGTCAAGAGCCAGTCTCGCCCAAAACCATCATAACTGCTTCACTCTCATCTGACTTCGAGTGGAAGAACTCTGCCATGTGAGCATCGCTGCTCGGTTTTCCGAATCCGAATGTCCTGCGACCGAATGGCATCCTGCTCAACCGAGGCGTTACCCCGGTCGACCAGGACCCGACTTCACAACACAGGTTTTTTGAAGTGGCGTCGATTTAGGACTTGACCAAAAGCAGGTGGTGACCTGCTTGGATTGGCTTGTTTCGGGAAACATATTCACTAGAAAGGGATTGAACCATAGGGAAAATACACAATCACCTTAAGCAAAACCAAACCTGTTGAATGGTGCTGGTACTGGTTGCTTTTCACAGCATGAATAAAGACAATGGATAGCATCCTTCGACATGTCTTTGTACATCTATATAAATATGCCTAGATTCGGCCTAGATGCCTATCAAGAAATACGTATCAAATAGCATTGAACCAACCGAGCAAAAAACATGGTGTCGTGTCGACACTTATAACTCAAAGTACTCCATGTGACTGCCATAGGACTACCTACATTGGGGTCCATTGATCGGCAGTCCGCAGTCCTGGGGCTCTCGCCAGTCCGACTGCGCCCACCCATGTCGCTGGGCACCCGAACTCCTCCTCCGATTCAGGTCTTTGCCTCAAGGAACGAGACGAACGAAACACCCCCAAAGGGCGGGATTGTTCACAAACCAGGAGAGAAGAGATGAAGAAGTGCACATCATATCCAGAAAAGAAGTGTTCGCTGGAAGATTGCATTCTGAATTCTATCTTCCGATTTGGGAAGTTTCTGATCCAAGAGCCACAGCTGACATCGCCTCTGAAGCGGCTGGTAGTTGAATCGTTGAGAATGCACCGGAAATCATTGAAATATGTTGCTTGAAACTAGAACCCCCTCCTCCAGCCAAATCTGTCAGAGAACACCTTGTTCAGTGTCATCCGTGTTCTTTCGTTGAACCCATTGGCGCTAACCCGAGCCAGCGCTAACCCGCTCTCAGAGTTGAAATCCGTTCGCGCCTCAACTTCTCCAGTTGGCCTCTCACCGTCGACCAATTCGAGAAGTGCAAAGAAAAGGACTTGGATTTCAGGTGGTGTTTTTGGTTGCGTGTTCTTTTCCCTGGTGGGGAGGGCTTAAGTTGGTTTTGGTGCTTTTCATGGTTTGGGCGCGCGCCTCTTTGTTTTTGTTCGTGTGTGCAGGCAGGCAAGCGGAGATGGGAGATAGATCGGTTCGATCGATCGATGGTCCAGAAACCGGTTCATTTGAGTCCCACACAACTGGACTCAGAAACGACGAGTGGACTCATGCATGAGAGGTCATCTGCAAGCAATGGATGTAGAGGAGACCTGTTGGAGGGTCCTGGTCGTTTGGTTCTTTGGGGGGTCTCTTACCATCTCTCCAACCTGCTCAGATCCTCCTGATCCTCCTGCCCCACTGCACTCGCACCTGCAGGACTAATTGGTGGCACCAGCCCCACTTGCTTGCGAACTGCGCGAAAGGCGAGCCGGTGCTTCACTCGCGGGCAGTTCACTGGGTGGGGAATCCTTTAAATACCTTCCAATATGCATAGAAATGATGTCCAGTAGAGGGAACACATGGCATTTCTTTGCCACACACATGGCTTTCTTTTTCTGCTCGAGGTACCTTTCTGGAGCAGTTCGTTGAGGCTGATGCCTTTGACCGTTCTCCTACAGCGCCCAAGCAAAGTGCGTGGAACCAGATTGGGGGTGCAAACTATCCTGCAGTGGGGCACTCAGCAATGCCAGCTCTTCCATTCCAATCGGTGAAAACTAACACTCTGATCGAACACATTACATGGCAGCGCAGTGGTATGGGCTCTCCAAAGACACGTTCCTGTATAAATTACACAACATGGGAGTCGGAGTGTCACACATTGGCCAATTGGCCAACTCAACCTACGGAACGTGAGAACACAAGCTTAGCAACCGGGAGCGGTAAGATCTCATGATGCCTGGAAAAGCTCGACATGCAGTTTCGTCTGGTTTCACCAATAAACCCTAGTAGCTTCTTGCTCCATGCAATGTCGTTTGGGTTCACCAATAAGCCCTATATAGTAGCTTCTTGCTCCTCGTAATAAGGCCAGGAGCCCCAGGCTCTAGTAGCTGTTTGGGTTCACCAATAAACTGGGCAACATGTCCCCAGACCTTGGGCTTTTCCACTTACACCCATCCCCCGAGGATCCGCACGCTTATCTCCACGCTGAACTCCACGGCCCTGGTGGATGGTTTGGACGGTGAACTCTTCTGACAAACCAGTGAAAGGGTGGCTTATACAGGTCAAACATCTGCACCAAGGAACATTGTGATTTGAAAGCTGCTGAAGCACTTTCAGTTTGGTCAAACCTGTCCGGACACGCCAAAGGCGCGCACCCTCTGCTCTCAAGGTATACGTCCTGCCACCTTTCTGTAAGCACATGCAAGCACCTGAATAGAACACTCCCCCCCCGGATTTCACACTGTTTTCGCCAGCGCGTCTCCAGACCCCATAGAACCCTACTACTTCACCTACCTACACCGCAGCTCTTGGACTGTCCAACACCGAGCTGCCACCATCCACCATCCACGGCTGGATCACGCGGACCGATCGACCTGTGAAAACCTCCACTCCCGAAACCTCACCATGTGGCCACTCCAGAAATGACCGAACTCCGAAGGACAATCCGACCAGTTTTTGGGACCAATTCGCCTCGAACATCCATCGTTCCTCCCACACCCCACACCCCAAGAGCGGCGTGGAGCGGCGTGGAGCGGCGTGGAGCGCAGAGACCACCGCGTTTGACGGGTCGTCAGCGAGCAACGGGTCAGTACTGCATCCGTTTCATGAGGTCGATCGCTCCGTACGTACTGAATCCTATAGAGTCGTTCCAATTCCGTGCTAACTCCCAAAGCAGAAAACGACCTGCATGGTAGATATGTTTTAATAAACACACACATGGTGGGTGGTTACTGATAAATAAAAAATTGAACTTGAGGATTCCGAGAATAAAAAAGAAAAGTGTTATAACATGTACTACCAGGACCTTCCCAGTGACCGAACTTGAGATCCCAGTGTCTGAGGTAAGGTCACTGACTTACCAATCCTGAAAGAGGTCACGAGTGGAAGGTCCTGGAGTACTCTTCTCCACTCTGGACCTCCCCGTTCTTCCCCAGTGGGTTTGCGCCCGCCTGCGGAGAGCAGCTCTCGGAGCGTTCGGACCTCGGTGTCGGTCACGTCACCGAAGGTGAGTCGTTCGGTCAGTCGACCCGAGAACCGAAGGAGTGTTTAGACACGTCGACCCAGAAAAACACCGAAAACACAGGAATGAGTGGTGTCGTGGGCGCCCAGTTCTGAAGAAGTGACACAGCAAGACTCAATGGATATACGGATTGGGCGCCCTTTTTTTTTTCAGAGCCACCTAGTACAGAGTTTTAGCAGTGGTTCTTTTGCTGGTCTTTGGCGGTCTCCCTATTTTAGTACAGTGCCCATTTTGGGGAGAGCTTTGCGCAACTGTTGCCGGACACAGGATGGACATAAACTCTTTTATATCGCATCTTCCAAGAGGAAAGATAACGTTTAAACCCCTCTTGATCCATCCACATGCACGTCCAAACTCCCCACACCAAAGGTCACCCCTCCAAAAAGCCTCTGAGCTCCTGCCCCCAAACTCCTCGATGCGCCGGCCTCTTCACCCCTGGTCCTTCATGGTCGCCCTGGCCCTGTTACCCTCGATCCGAGACGATCCGATCGGGCCCGGGGCCGCGTCGTTCCGCCGAGGGGCGGCGAGGTGCCCGGAAGTTCGCCGCCCGAGTCGGCACCTGAGGCGGACGGTCGGAGGTCGGTGGTCGGAGGTCGGAGGTTGAGGTGTTCCCCAAAAATGGAAGGATGAGGACGAACAGATGAGGACGAACCTTGGGGAGGTTGAGGGTATAGGATCAATGCATGTGAAGGCAACAGGGAGAACATAGTTGGATCATGTTTGATCTTTTGATTGGTGATGCAGTGATGCATGAATTCAGGAACTGGCTAATGGTCTCATCTTGCTGGACCGTTCGAGCTGGTGAATGGGTCTGGTCTGTATATAGTCATGGTCCCACGATTGCTCAAATCCATCTGTTCAAGCTCTGGAAGAAGCACCTGCAGTTTGGGCCCAGTGTTGATCTCACTTAAAAGGAGGGCCTCGGCCTCAGCCTTACATATATATATATATACACACTTACCCACCCCGCTACAGTCTTGGGTCTTTTTCACAATAATTTTATTTTCTATTATCGGACTTCACTGCTTCTCTGTCTCTGTTCCCTCCCCCTGCCAATGTCGAACCAAAAGGGCTCCGACTGGAAATGCCGGTCACAAGACAGTGCTGTCTTGACAGCTGGGTTAAACCACACTGCTCCGTCTTGAATTGTTTGCGTTGCATCAGAACTCCGAACACCATGTTGTCTGGTGCCAAGACTCATCTACAAACGGTCAAACGTATTTTCCACAATGAAGTTTAAATACGTTACGATGAATGTTTCTATTGAGCCCTAACGATGTTACTTCTCATACTAACAACATCTAACAACTAACGTTTCTATTTTTGTTTCCAGGTGTATATATAGAGGGGATAGGTATCCCAAACGTACTACAATGAACTTAAACGTATTTCTACCAGTGTCTGTTCATGTGTGGCTTCTGGGATGCAGTACACACAAAGAATTGATGGCACAAATGGATGAGCAAAGTGTTTGTGTTCGTTCCTCCTAGAAGGTAGGCATTTCACATGTTTCAGTTCAATAAAACAATACTATATAATGTTGTATTCCATTATACAGTATACTTTAATAAAGGGTGTTGTAAATGAAAAAGGCAAACCCTTCGATTTGGAAAGCCTTTCAATTTTTGATACGAGCTTAATGATTGATTTTATGTCGAATTGTCCCAGGCAAACTTTGTCGGCGTGTGTTTATTCAATCGGTGAAAGGGCTTCTTGCGAATTTCATGGCTAGCGGCTAGCTCGCTAGAAATATACAACGATGCTTGCAAGCTGGGGTGACCTTAAGCGCCTCTATGAACCAAAGCTAGCAGACTGCTACAAATCGTTGGATCAAACAGCTCGAACGACCTGGTCCATGGTTCTGAAGCCGAGACGTCCGCGCTGCTTGTTTGAACGAAGCAGAATTAATAGTTCCGGCAGATGTTCGGGACCCAATTCACCATTTGTTCACCTCAGTAGTTCATGTTGTTTAAGACTATTCCTGAAGCGGGTTTTCGGGTTTAGGGTTGGGTCCGAACCGAACAGCGACAAGGTCCACGAAACCCATCCGACGTTTCTCCCGGCCTTCTCCGTGGGGCGAAGCAGTGGTGGGCGGACTTGGCGGTCGAAACGGATGCGGAAACTGTTCTTTTTTTTTTTGTGAGGATGATTTTGCTGGACATCAAACAAAAAAACAGGGGATTGAGATGGTTTGAGATATTGAAACCTTCCCCATAGATGACTGGAAAAGACACGTGGTTTGGAAGTGATCTTTGATGTTCTTTGATGTTCTTTTGTTTATTGTTTTTCCCTGCTTACGTTTTTCTGAGGATTTTCAGATCCCGCTTGCTCGTCTCTCGGACACTTTCATCCAGGTAGGTACCTAAAACGATTGACCCTTTGCATAGATCAAGGATGATCAAGGTGTAATTCCCCAAACTGACATTGTGTAATTCTATATCTTAAATTTTGACAAGAACTGCGTCATGATTAGGCTCATGACCCATCTCAACTGTGGTCATAACATGTGAACTATTGGTCATGCCGGAGTCTTCATCCGTTCAGGTCAAATGCAAGCACTGAATCTTTAATAAAAGACCTCCACTGTTGGCAACGAATCTCCCTGGACTGACTCAAAGTTGCACTCCCCCAAAAAATAACATCTGATCAACTCTGTCCTCCAGAGCCCTCCTCAGGCAACGACCTTGAGTCGAAGTCAGCTTTGACATTGAAATAGTCGCCTGAGAAAGGACGCTCACAAAGTCCAAGTCCGAAGGTCGTCATGGTGGGCTGGGAGAGATTTGCAGTGATGTTGCGGATGGGAAAACAACCTCAGAGAATGTTACTTCAGAATATATGACAGAACCTCAATTACTTTACTTCGATTGTTCCCCCCCCCATGACATGTCAATATTTGTCTTCATGACATGGTGAGGAGCATGTTGCCATGGTCGTGAGTTTTGTGGTTCTCGATTTGCTTGTGGGTCCTCGAGTTGTGTGCTGTGGTTGTGGGTTGTGGTTGAGTGTTGTGGTTGTGTGTTGTGGTTGTGTGTGTTGTGGTTGTGTGCTGTGGCTGTGCGCTGTGGATGTGTCTTTCTGGTTGTGTGTTGTGGCTGTGTTTATGATTGAGTGTTTGTGATTGCGTCTGTGGTTGTGTTTGTGATTGTGTGTTTGTCGTTGTGTTTGTGGTTGTATGTTTGTGGTTGCATGTTTGTGGTTGTCTGTTTGTGATTGCGTGTTTGTGGCTGTGCTTGTGATTGTGTGTTTGTGATTGTGTTTGTGCTTGTGGCTGTGTGTTTGTGATTGTGTGCTTGTGGTTGTGTTTGTGGTTGCGTGTTTGTGATTGTGCTTTTGTGGATGTGTTTGTGGTTATGTGGTTGTGCTTGTGGTCGTGCTTGTGTGTTTGTGGTTGTGTGTTGGTTGAGGTCCGGCAGCGCCCGGTACGCTGGGGAGCTGGCGGTTGAGGTCCCGCGGGGAACGCTGCCAACCGGAACTCGCGGTAGAGGACGAGGCGGAGGACGAGGCGGAGGAGGAGGACGGCAGATGAAATAAAATCTAACAACCCTCACCTGACAGGTGGGGAAAACCACATCATTTGGGCTCGTGGTGACCTGCGGTGACCTGTGGTGACCCACACCGTGTGATGGTCAGTCATCTGAACATTGACGTCAACAAACCGGGGTTCGCTTGAGTCAGGGTTACCTGTTAACCTTGAGCCCTGTGACTAGCTCAACCCCACCATCCAGTACTACGATGATAACACCAAAGCTAAGAGTTCGGGCCCGAAACACAAATCCCGATTACGCAAAGAGTTCTCCGCCACTAAGAAAACACCTTCAGAACTAAAAAGGACCCCAAAAGGCTGCTACCTGCTCGATAAATCTCGATAACATGTGTACCGCAGCACTCGAAAAAAACCTAAAATAAAACTGCACCCAGCATGTTCCGATGATGTTGGGGCGCCTTTTCCCACCAAAAAACGGTTCAGCGCCTGGAAACTGCTCCTTAAACTCTGTCTCCCGCGATTTTCTCCTCGATGGAGACATCGCCTCCACCAGTGAATTGGACCGGGATGGCTGGATCGGGGATGGCGGTTTCGCACGTCGACGGATTCGCGGATCGATGCCACTTTAGGCGGTCCATGCGTAACTATGGCCGCATTTCAACCTTTGTCGAGCCGGTAGCAAAGGCTAACTGTGGAGAGATTTGGATGAAATGAATCTCTGACCACCACATCCTGGCTTTAGAATGCTTTAGACTCTATATATAGATCTGACTTTTAAATTTTAGATCAAACTGGTCGTGCTGTGCTCCAGATTGGGTCGTCATTCACTTTCAATCCTGGCATGGATCTCTCAATCGATCGCTCCACTGATACCTAGTCACTGCCTTCGCAAGTGACCAGCACAGTGGTGCGGTGGCTAAAAGCAAATCTCGGCAGCTTCTGTTGCGGAAGAATGGCACGACCTGGTGACCTGATCGGTATTCTCATCGAGAATTCTCGCCGATCAGACGTGCCACAAACTTACAGAACCCAATCTAATTCGGAAGACTAGACAAAACGTCTGTCCGATTGCAGTGAAGTGGCGGTGCTGGGTGGTCCGCCATCGGTTCTGCAGGCAAGTTTGCCCCATGACCATCGACGATGGTCAATCTGTCAGTCTGATATCTTGTTCATGCCAATACACGGTTAGATCACGTGGGTCTTCTGGGTCTTCGGAGTCTTCCATGACTTCACATGTCACCAAACACATATAGGGTTTGGTTCGGGCCCGGAACCCTGCGAAGGTGTCGAGTCTGACCCCTGCCACGGAGGGCCCAAGGATTCTGAGGGCTTAAAAAGATCGACTGCCCCGTCCTTGAACCACCTGCTTGGCTTAAGCAAGAACCAGCATGCATCACTGTCAAAACAGTCAGTCAATTTGGGAGATATTGAACCAAAGGATCGGGCGACACCGTATTTGCCTGGGCAAAGCTTTTGGAAGAATAACCTGCATGCTGAATCGAGGAGGATCAGGGTGCAAATGCCAGGCGATGCCTTGCACCGGCAGCCCGGTAGCAAAAGCATAGCTCACAATTCCTCCTTCACCAAGGCTCTCTCTTCGAATGGTCCAAAGATTGTCTCCTGTACGCGGCTGGTGTGGCTAGTGGCTTGGCTCGTCGTTCTTTGGAGAGACCTCTTGGTGGCTTGCGCCGCTGCATGGCTCGACAGAAGTCCAAGCTGGACTGCGAAAATTGAGCGCCTTCATCCCGACATCATGTTAACTTCAATATATAAATTGACCAAATAATTCTGGACCCTGAGTTTCAGCTGCTTCCAAGCCTTGATTCTGGATGTTCAGCTCCTCCAACCCTGATTGTAGATTGTCAGCGTTATTTTTTGATTTCTTATTTGTGCATTGCCATTTGTAACCTGAAGTCAACTCACAAAGACTACCCCTCGCAAGCAGCCCAAACCTCCAAACACTCCAGACCTCAAATAATACTACTACAGTAAACAAACCCTGGCTGGTTCTTTTGGTGGTTTCCGTTGCAATTTCTCTAGAATTCATGTTCTTTACTTTTCTTTTCCTTTAATGTCCTTTTCTTTCCTTCTATTTTCCTTGCATGTCCTTTTCTTTAATTGTCCTTTCATCTCATTTCCTTTCATTATCCCTTCATTCCTGTTCTTTTCCTTTCATGTTCAATTCATGTCCTGTTCGTTCCTTTCATTTTCCCTTTTTCACATCAAACATTTTTCTGGATATTGACTATATATATATTTAGGGTCAGAACTTGATCACCGGGGGAGGGGGGAGGTCATCATGGACATTATCCCGACGAACCAGCCCGACTCTCCAGAACCCTTCAAGAAAAGGACTCCCAAAAAACTCTTGAGTCTTGAGAACACAAAAACAGGACACAAGTCTGTTCATCCCAATTCATCCCAATTCTCCACATCCGACGGATCCCCATTTCTCTAAGACTCCCAAAAAACGAGTCGAGCGACTCGAATCGACCCGAATTCGACCGAAGAGGACCGATGGTCCTGCACTTCGCTGTCCAGGTCACTCTGCCTTGGTGAAACATGAAGCTGCAAGGAGGATGCTAAGCAATGCTGAAGACTCCAATGGTTCAAGGCAACCACTCGACTCATCCATCATGGGTTCCCTTCCAGATTCCCTTCAGGACCATCTATGTGAGCAACTTTCGGGTCATGAATGGATATTAATGGGTAACTCTTCCATACTGAAAACTGACATCTGAAACACCGAGATGCGGCGCTGCTCTTTCTTCAGCCACCTCCACTTTGATCCCTGTCGTTGCGGGCGACACCTCTAAGGACTCCGTGACTTTCTCATCTCCGTCGTGTAAGGACTTCGTCCCGCTCTCCGGCGCCTCGCTTCAGAATGCGAGTGATTTGGTGTGTGGGTCCTTTGTGTTTTCTGAAGCGAGGGGAACTCACCGCGTACGCTGTGTTTTTCGTGCTTTGGCCAACAAAGTCCCCCAGACGCAAATCCATGCAAATCCCGCAGATCGGATTTGTTTATTTGGTTTATCTCAGTCCCACGACCTGTCTGGGACTGCCATAGGACTGCCAATCAGCTGGGGTGGTTAATTTCTGGGATCGTAGGTAAATCATATTCCATGTCCCATTATAGTCGTGAGCGTGAACAGGTCCCAGGTCAACTTCTCGGCCGACGTCGCATTCATTAATGAATGGTCCCTAGGGCTCCAACCAATATATCCTCAGGTGGTTAGACCCCCCAAAACCACCCCAACAACCTTTGGGGATGTGGCTACCTGACTGGTTTGATCCAACCAGGATTCTAACAAAGGCCGCAGAAAGGAACGCTTTCAAGATCAGCACTCCGAAAAAAACACGTTTTCGGGTCGTGCCACAGCGAAATGTCACGCCGACCTCTCTGCATCTTTCAGCGATCAAATACTCTCAAATCCTCGAATCCCAGGGGTCCCGTCCCAAAAACCGAGGCAGGTGGGGGGACCTCAGCCAACGATGATCTGCGCATTATTGAGCTCATGATCCTCTGCAAACCCAGCTGGGATTCGCTGTGGAAGAGGTCCACATCCTTGGACGCTGTCTGCGGGCAGGAGAGCGCAGGAGAGCTGTCTGCAGTGACTGTGTGATTTGCTCATATCAAGAATGATCTGAAGGGAGTGAAGGAAAGTCAAGGTAGATATACAGTAAGCAAATATATACAAGCAAATATATACTATAACTATAACAATGACTTTGCGATCGGAATTGGAACTATTGGACAAAACAGGTGGCATTGAAGAGGCTGTTCACATGATCTCACCGAACTGAACCCTCCTGAACTGAGTTTTGGTGTTAAAGCTCCAGCCCCTTGCGGAAGGGGCAGTCTGCACCCAAATCCCAGAAGCTCGCGATTCTTCCAGCTGGATGGTGATTCTTGAGACTTTTAAAGCCCGTTCTTGCTGAACTAAGTAGGCAGCTGCTTGAAAAAAAGTCAGGGCCACATGCTGCTGGTAAGCTTGCTATAGCTAGGACGCATGATAGGCGGGGGGGAGCTTCCTTGAAGAAGCGCTCGTACTATTCTTTTGGTTCCTAGATTTGGGAGCTGCCCAATATATACCTCCACCCCAAACGAAACGTATACCGTTTCGGAAACGAGGCTTCAATGAGGTCGATGCAGTACATGATCCGCTGCAAATCGCCGCCCACCATCTCTCCCACGCGCTGCTGCAACTGCCCACCCTCGGTCATCAGCACCCTGTCGGAGACACGTTTCAGCTCCTGGACCACCTGAGACGCTTCAGAAACGGAGCAGAAACGCATTTTTTTGCTTAGATCGTGTGGTACGCATGAATAACCAAGAGACGACTAGAATGTATGGCGCCAGCATTTGTAGCCACCCTGGACATGAAAGCATGCCAGCACCTTCATGTCGGGGTCACCTGGCTGGTTTCGCCCCAGCCCACTACTAAGGGATCTCCAGCCAGGACACCCCTTGAAGGTCCATTCCTCCATGCTCCGGAATCCGGTGCTGACACCGACACCGAACCCGACACTGGGTGACCCAGTGGGTGGAAGTTGGGGGCCTCGGGCATCCGTCCGCCAATCACATGGGCGATCCTCCAGTCATGCGATCGTTGACCTGGTCTATACCAAGAGGAACTATAGGTTAACAATTATACCAGGACCCTCCAAGGAGTGCCCAATGGAAGCCTAGAGGTAGTGTGGGGTAGTCCATTGGGCACCCCGACAGGATGGTCCTGGTAGGCACTTTAATTTTCTTAGGAGACATCCGCGGTGCGATGGACGAACTGAGGGTCTCCCCATTCATACGCAGTCTTCTGTGAGGGTTCGGAAAAGGGAGACCTCCTCTACCCAAGATTCCTTCCGTGGCTGGGTCGCTTGTTTCATCGAATGATAGAACCAACAGCTTTGTAAGCCCAGATGAATGAGGAGGCCAGCCGCGCTCTGCACACCGACGCGCCAATGGGCGCACGAGGCATGTGGCCGACTACGACGATCGATTCTTCAGCAACCCCGGTGGATCCCAGTACTTCGTCTCGAGGTCAGGAACCAGCCCGCGACCCGGACGAAAGATGGTTTCAGTCGATCGTCGGAACCGGTGACGACATCGTGGGAACTGGGATCGGACTGGGGGACGACTTCCTCGATGAGGGCGACCACCCCACGACCACCCCATCGGCTCAAGACCGAGTCTGATTCAACCGAGCCCCGAGTCTGAGCACCTCGTGACCCCAAAAGAAGGAACAACCATGGTGTCTGGCGGTCCAAAGCCACCAGAAGTCATCCTGGTCGGTTGACAAACCTCACAGGTCTATTCTCTTCCGTCTATTCATTGTTGAAGGGGCCGCGGGTGCCATGATCGGCCTTCTAGGGCGGCTTTCCCGGCCGGATGTTGCGCTGAAGCAGACTGGTTTCGGACTGGGGCTAAAGAGGCCAAAGATGCTGCCTGCCACAAGGAGACTCAGGCATGGCTGCCATCATTGAAGCTCATGAACCTGCTAGAAGTGCTTCTCTTCTGAAACAACTGAACAACCTTGATGTTCCACC